AAAAAAGATTACCCTGGTAATCTTAGAATACCTAAGAAAATAGAGATAATCAGATTACCTCCAATATTACTAACAGTAACTACTATTAGTATTTGAAGATTACTAGAATATTATATTACTTGACAACCAAACGTGATAATCAAGTAATATAAGATGACATAATTCTAGTAATCCCACATTACCCCCAACCAAAAGCCCCCTTAGGGATATATGGGTTAGACCAAAGAATGAAAAGGCGATAGTAGCCAAGCATCCTCTTGTCCAACATAAGTTTGATGATGGTTTCAATAAGGTCGGGCTCGACATTAGCTGGGGCCTTTTAATTATATAGATAGATAGCACGGCATAGCAGCAGTCTTTGTTTTACTAAAATAGGGCTTCTGGGAAGATGAAGGTTTTACATTATGAGAAAGAGTTAAAGGACATGTTCCCACCCAAAAAATGGCCCGTTGACAAATTCATACCCATTCACTTTTTAAATACCCACACCACAATTTTTTTAGTAATTTCAAAAGTCCATTATTATTAAGGGCAGAATAGTCAACAAACAATTGGCCGCTGGAGAAAAAGAAAAGATAATTGCCGACGCACATTAGTAAAGGATGGCGCACGTTAGCAACGTCACCACCGACAATTTTTGTTGTTTTCAACTGATCCTAGCGTTCAAAATCACTTCTGAGATCACCCACAGAATCGTCATCACCTCTTCTACAAAGCCTAAGCCTCTATTTGTTGTCATCACTCAACACTTTCCACCACCACTTCCATTTGCACAACCGACTCTTCAAGCCAGATTTTTGATCGATTTCTTTGCCAGAAATTCACCCAGACACCACCATCACACTCCTCACAACCCACTTTACAAAACCTTTACCTCAATCACCATCCATTGCTCACTGATCATCGGTCGTACATCGCGCGACCTTTCAACTTCCAGGCTGATATAAGATTGTTTCTGTCAAAATTTGTCCTTGCCACAACCAATCAACTCCCTGGATCTTCCTCTCTAAAAGCTCTAACATTCTTGATCCCGTTTATTCACCGATCACCAACGATTGAAGCTTTCATATCTTAGGGTTTTTCGAGTTTTGATCAATTAATTGGGTTTGATTCGTTCGGTTTTTGTGTTTGTTGGGTTGAAAAACGATTGAGAAATGTTAATTTGTAGCATTTGTGATTTGTTTGTTGATTTTTTAGTCACTGGCACTCCCCAACACTGGTTGTAATTGTTAGCAATGAAAGAGGTTAAGAAAAGAAAGGGTTTTTTTAGTAAATCACTTTATTTTTCATCTAAATTAGAATAAAATTTAATATTTAAATAATAAAATGATATTTTAAAAGTTTCAATAGAATATTTTTTAGGTGGGGATATGTCGTTAACTCTCATGAGAGATTGAGAAGTTACTAGATAGGTTGATGTATGGAGATAAAAAGTGATGTGTTTGTATTATAGCAGGTGTCCCTTCACTTCTGAATCTTCTGGTTAAAGCTCTGTCACAGAACCTTTCTAAAATCACTGTACACATCAGCCACTGCCGTCCCAACCGTGTAAGATGTGCCAAAGATTTAGGCCTTAATAGTAAAAAGGTTGTAAACATAATCAGTATACATCGACAGTAAAAAGAAGACAAAACCAAACCCTCAAAAAAAGCAACGCCGCAGATTCAACCACGTCGGATCTGACTAAGCACCGACAGTGAGAAAGAGAAACCCCCCAAATTAGACTTAAGAAATTATTGGGTTGGAGATAATTAAGGTAAATAAAAGGGGGGTTTTGTGAAAATGAAAGGATGATTAAGGAAAGGATTGACTTTGGTGTACTTGTGTGAGGGAGGTTGTGCAGAAAAGAAAAGTAAAAGAGAAGAGAAGAAAGAAATAAAAAGAATAAGTGGGGTCGATGACAGGGACAAAACCATATGATCTAAAAAAAAAAAAAAAATCTACCACCACTGTTTCTCTGAGAGTTTAAATATAAAATAAAAAGAAAAGGTTAGAGAGAAGAGGAAGGGCCGGAGGGGGGACCAGTCTGATCTTAGGTTTAGGAATACGACAAATCCACAGCTGTGACATTGACCCCACTGCTACTTGTTACCACTTCCCACCACACTTTCTTGGAAATTACGTCATTTCTCTCTTTTTTTTTTTCTTAATTATATGGATTTTCATCAAAAACGAATATTTAAGAAAAGAATCGGTAAAGGTAAAGGTAGTAGGTTTACGATGCCTTTTCTACGTCTTCACATCCAATATTTTATTTTTTTTAATAATCAAATTATTTGGATTAATTTATATGTATTTTAATTAATTTTTTATAATCTTAAAATTATCGATCAAATTAGAGTTTTAATAATCATTTTTTTTAGTAATCGAATGATTTAAATTTAAAAAATCATGTTAGATTTGATTCTTACTCTTTTACTTAAAAAGATATTTAAATTTTTGAGATCATGTTATATCCTACTCTTAAAAAAATATGTATTAAGGAGGTTCAAATTTGAAAGGCTATGTTAGATTTCTTTTTACTCTTTATTATCAGACCATCCAATGAGACTATGTTATATAAAAGGAGATTTTATTCAATAACTATTATTTTTGTATGTGAGTAAAGAGCCAATTTGAAAAACTTTCTTAGAAAATAACCTTATTATAAAATTTTAGTATCAGGTAATAAAAAATATCATTTCTTTTAACTTAAAAACCGAAAGTGGTCGATACCAACCATTAATTGGATAGAAATTGATTTGTTTTAAGACTCTTAACTTTCATTGTGGTTTTATCAAACAAAATCCTAAAAAAAAAAAACAAACTCTACTAAAATTAATTTTGAAATACTTTCAAAAACATTTATGTTTCAATTGAGTCTTAAAAAAAGGATTATTTAATACAACTTTCTCTGTATAAATAACGGTTTACTTATTATGATAAATTGATAAAAAGGCTAGTGATCCCTTGTTTGAAAAGTAATCATCGATCCCACCAAAACCAAAAGCCAAAAGGATCTGTTTTTTTGCTTCATAATTAATAAATTAACAAAAGGGCATTATTTTGCTTATGAAATAGAAAGACCCTCTTTCTCAAATTGGCCCACCAAAATAAAGCAAATATAAACTAACTTAACCAATTATGTACTTATTGTAGGTTTATAGGAAATTTCCTTTTGCTATTATTAAATATGAAATGATACATATGGGTAATATTAAAGGTCAATGTACAATACAAAAAAATTATGATGTCCACATTAATCAGATATTCGCAATAAAAAGTTGATTATTATGAGGTTATTTATCCTGTAATGAATTTTGTTGATAATAAATAAATATATAATTGTATTTGTTGCTATTAATGCGATCTCGTCAGAAGTCACACGTGTGTGTTAAATCTTTTGATGTGAACTAATGGGCTGAGTGCCTATGTTTGAATGCCACGTCAAGTAATCTTCAAATAGTTGGTGGAGAGTCTTTCATGTCCGTAACTTTTATTTTTCTCTAATTAACACGATTCAATTGAATTAAAACTAGAGAAGACAAAACTTATTATTAAATAAAATAAAAAAACTCACACCAGCCAATTAGGAAGTTTAAAATTGACAGCTTAACCCTCAGCCGACTTTCTTACTCGATTAAATAAATGGGTAGGTGATGAAGTGTGCCTTTTATTTATTTATTTGTTGTTTGATTTAGTTGAAAATCCGATTAGTTGGTATTGGAATAACTTCAAAACTTTTTTATCCTTATTTTTTTTAAATTGTCCAACCGAAAAGTTATTTTTGTTGGGTTTTGTAAAATTTTATTAATATATTTTATATTTTTAACATTGATCTTATATTGTTTATAAGGTTTATGTAAACTTCACTCAAAACCCAAATGACACTATTATTATTTCATATTAGAAAAAAAAAAAAAAAAAGTTTTATCACCTGTTTAGTCATGGGAATTAGGGATTGCTTATGTTATGCCATCCCAAACTATAATATTATTTTAGAAGACACGTTACCATCCATTTAATAACATAATATACAAACATATATTTAATATAATGATACAGCAGTTAAAGAAATAACATTCAATTGATCTTTTATTTAAAATATAACCCAACGTTTTCCATCGAACTCAATTGGAAATTGGAGCATATATAGAAAATATTTCAAAGGAGAAAAATGATTGATATAGTGATATGGTTTAAATGATTAATCAAACACAGTCCTTGATGAAATGAAATATAGTTGATTTGATTTCGAAAGTACAAATGGATGAGCTTTCCCTCGTGAAAGAGTTTATTTAGGACCAGTTTTGCTTTACATTTTTTAGCCATCAATTTTTTATTTTTTAATAAAATAGGAAAGACCGATGCATTTGGAGTTGTTTTATATGTTATTATATATAGTGATGAGATTAATATTTCGATATTACTATTGGTTAAATTCAAGAGTTGTCTTAACGGGATTAGAGAACAAAATGTTTATTTATTCAAATATATTTCATGTATAAAAATATTGGGAAAAAAAAAGACAATTTTCATTGTATTAAAATACCCATTTTTTTAGTAATCTTAGCCAAGTTAAATTTAAAAGGCAAGTATGAAATATTAATAAAGAGAAATTACAAAATGAATAAAATATAAATTTCTGTTTACCCAAAACTTGTTCCCATCATAAAAAACGCGTTGGGTGCTCTAAATCAGTTGGTTGAATTAAAAATGCAGATACAGAAACACCAAATGGTTAATATAATTGTAAATAATAAAGACACCTAATCCAATTCTATTGTGATAACTTGAAAATTAATAATACACCTAATCTAATCAAATCAAACCCACCTACATAAACTCATATTAAAAATAATAAATAAAAACATATTAATTAAAAGGCAATCAAATTGTCAGACAGGAACAGAAACAGCAGCTTTTATCTGTAAATTTCTTTATCTGATCGATCTCTGTTCCAACCTCCTTTCATTGTAATGATATCATAAGTTTGAATCTCTCTTTCTCTTTCCTTTTCTCTTTCTCTCTGTGTGAATTTTACAGAAACAAGAAAAAAATACAAAATTTTAAAACCTCTCTCTTTTTTATCATCTATCAAAATTTCTTGCTCTCTCTCTCTCGTGCATGTTACAGAGAGTGGTGCAGAAAGTTTTGTGTCTCAGATCCCGATATACTGCTGCTCTGCTATCCTCACCATTAACGAGAATACACTGTTCCTTTTTCTTTCTATTAAACCATCACTATTCATCTCTCTTTGTGGTTGTGGTCCTCTTCCATTTCTTTCGTTTTGTTTAATTGTATAAACTACATACATATATACTCTCTTCTAGGTTTTATTTTGTGAACAAATGCAAGAACCGGGCTTGGGTATAATGGGTGGTGGTATTGGTGGAGGAGGTGAAGTCTCCGGTGACCAAAGTCAGCAACAACTGAAGGCTGAAATAGCGACTCACCCACTTTATGAACAGCTATTAGCGGCTCATGTATCGTGTCTGCGTGTTGCGACACCTATTGATCAATTGCCTCTAATTGATGCGCAGTTGTCTCAGTCTCACCATCTTCTTAGGTCTTATGCTTCTCACCATCATCAACACTCTCTTTCTCCTCATGAAAGGCAGGACCTTGACAACTTCTTGGTACGTTTTTCCATTAAATTTACTACCTTTATTGAGATATGGGTGATGATGTTTTATTATATGGTACAAATGGTAATCTGTTTTGTGGATACAGGCACAATATTTGATAGTATTATGTACTTTCAAAGAACAGCTTCAGCAACATGTCAGAGTCCATGCCGTTGAAGCTGTTATGGCCTGCCGTGAAATCGAAAATACCTTACAAGCTCTCACTGGTTTGTCCTCTCTCTCTCTCTCTCTCTCTCTCTTTTTGTTTATCTATTAATCATATTTATGCCTACTTACGCCATCACATAAAAAAAAGCTGTTTTATTTACTCTATTTGATTATTCATCTTTGATTATGTTACTATAATGAATAATGTATACGAAAAATAATGTGGTTGTTATGAAAGAATATCAACTTTGTTGCAGGATATTATATTTATTTTTGATGTGTTTGTTCTAGTTACACGTTTGGTGGACAAAGAAGATAAGCATTTGGGGTTTCTTGCAAGTTTGAGAATTAAGAGTGTAGATCCGTACAGAAAGTTGGGTGAGGAAATAGTTGTAGGACCTACCAATCAATATATCATAATGCCTTAAAAATAGCAGTTGGGTTGTTTGGTGGAGGCGGCTGACCACCACCATCACTGCCGCCGCCATCAGCACGGCCCAAATGGACGGCTATGGAACAGTAGTTTTAATTCTTATTAGCTTTCTTAATTTGTTAAAGTATCTTTGTTTGGAGGTTTTCCCTCCCAATAATTGAGTTAGGTTTAGAAGTTTTGTTTTTAATTAATCAATCACCATCGTTCATTATAATTTTCTCTATATTAACTATATTGTCTTTGAGATTACCCTATATATATATATATATATANGTAAAGAGTCAGAACCAAATGACCTCGATGAACACTCGTTCCTAGAGTTCATCAAACCATTCTAAGAAGGAATGTCACCATTCCAGGAAGTCGTTCAACGTTCTAAAATTTTTGGACTTTAAGAGATCCAAGATGGAATGCACATTTGCGATAGGGGAATGCCTATTCACGATAGAGGAACAACCATTCCAAACTTTAAAATTCAAAGAAAAGTGATCGTTGCTGTTAGGAATGCCCATTCCTGATAATGGAACAGCCATTCCTCCGGTTCTGCAATTTTGTAGAAAGTTGCAACAGTGCATCAAATGAAGCAACAACTCTAATTTATTTCAAGGGTTGTTGAAGACATAAAAAGAGAGAGTTATTGCAAGAGAAAGACAAAGAAAGAACATTCCAACTATCAATCATCATTCTTGCAAACCCTAGAGCTCAATCTTAAACAAAATTTACTCTCTCATTTGTACTCAAACTCATTTCCTTAGAGAGAAACAAAAAACCCATTTGTGTATATCAGTCTAGCTTAGAGGTAATCGTAAACAAAAACATTTGATTTATCCTTGTGGGCGAAATCCTATAAAATTAAAGGCAAAATACTATCAAACTATTGTAAAGGCAAAATCCTGTCAAACTATTGTATTGGAAAAATCCAAGTCTAGTGAAACTTCAAGGAATTTGCCTTGAAGAAGTGGAAATAGGAGGCTCTTGATCAAAGCTTCGAACCACTATAACTCTCTGAGCATTTCTCTTCTCTCAACTCATTCATTACTTATTGCACATTTATTGCTCATATTTATTGTTATTGATTGTTCATATCATTTGGGTAGTTGAGAAATTTATTATTCCGCATTAATTTCTATTAATTCCTATTCACCCCCACTCTAGGAGTATTTGCCATATTAGGGTTTTACAATTGGTATAAGAGCTTGGGCTCTTTCATAGAAAATCAAATGATTTTAAGAGTTAATCAATCTAGATAAGACAAAACATCAACACCTCTATTTGGTGAGGGTCATTGCTCTATTAGATACCCATTGTTTTGTGGTGTAAACTACACACATTGGAAGATTAGAATGAGATTACATATTAGGTCCATAAATTACAACTTGTGGAAAATAATAGAGTAAGGGAATTTTGTTCCCATAGACATTTATGTTAATTGAGGGAACAATTTTTTTGTTAATTGATCTAGAAATTTAAAAATTTTATTTGAGTACCTTTTCCATCAACTCGTAACCAATTCTGAGAACACATCAATGCCTCTATCGTATTAGAATAAAGTCTGCTGCGAAGTGGACTCACTACATTGCTGCCAATGCTAAATGGGGACTCAGAAGCAACTGTGCAGACATGAATGGCAAGGACAATTCGAGCAATACTATGTAGGATGGGATATGTAGACCCATTTAATCTCCACCAACTCAATATATCAAAATTAGCAGTGTTAGGCAGAATTGTGTCCTCCAAGTAATAGTCCAATTCTGCCTTCCCTCGGCAAATACTAATTTCTTTTTCCATAAACATATCAAAACCAGCCATATATCCTTCAGGAACTTTACTAGTATGAACAATGGTTTGAGAAAAAGGTGTATTGAAAGAGGGTCGATGTTGACAACTTTCTTGCCTTCGTTGGTACTAAAGAAACAAATAAGAACACAAGTTTCGAATCCTCATAATTTGATCTTTGCATCATCTCCATAGATCAAAGGAAATAAATAATCTAATAACTTCAACTTATATCTAGTATCTAAACTTATTGCTACCCCCATAACACCTTGAATGATGTTCCAATACTTGGTAAACTTTTCATCCATCTTTGCCATCTGCCTTATCACATCATTTTTATATCTCAGCCAAAAGGACAATTGAAGTCTAATCTCACAAATTTTTGGAAAATAAACATTGGCTGTGGGATATGTTGTTCTGGAGAATAAGAGTGTCGTATCGTAAAATATCTTCAACTTTCCCGAAATTTCTTTAGCCAACTCCCATTCTTCCCTAATTGGCAAACATCTAAAATTTGGCTCACGAGGTTTTAAACGGCTAAATACTACTTTGCAAATGAAAGCTGTTTCAAGCATCAAATAGGTGGAGCTCCAACAAGTCCTACAATCAAGAGCCAACTTCTTCGTATATTGAATGCCTGAATGAGTTGCCAATTCATCAAAATGTTTTTGTCTTTTAGGCGATGTCATCCAATAAGCAACACTATCACATATATTTGCTCTTGCTTCTGCAATTACTCATAAGCCATCTTAAACAATTAAATTCAAAATATGTGCACAACAACACATATGAAACAAATCACTATGTAGCATAAGCGATGTGCATTCAAGCTGTCCAAAGAGATCTTGAACTACTACATCATTAGTGGGGTAGTTATCTACCATAAGTCTGGACAACTTCCTATCAATTTTCCACTCAAAGAAATTATCCATCAAGGCCGTGGACAATACATCCTTAGTATGTGGGCAAGGCACATGTAAGAACCTACAAATAAATTAAACAAAAAATCATATATTAATGTAGCTACACAATATGTATGAGGAAATAAGAATAATAAAACATAATTACGTAATACCTCAGAAGTCGATTTTGTAAAACCCAATTATTATCTATAAAATGTGTAGTCACGGTCATATATCCTTTGTTTAGATTTGTTGCAGTCCACAAATCAGTCGTGATAGCAATTCTTCCCAGATTATTATTTAACATTTCCATGGACTTCTCCTTCTCAATTTTATAAATCTTCATAATATCCTTCTTGATGGTCCTCCTAGAGACAATAGTAAACAAGGGTTGCATAGTGTTACAAAATTTTCTAAACCCTGCATGATCAACCATGCTAAGAGGATACTCATGTATAATAATCATATTTGCCAATTCGTTTCTTGCCACCTCTTGGTCAAAATCTTAAGTGCTTAATGTCCTCTTAGAATCCTCTTTTTGGCTCACCACAAACAACTTTTGAGCTACATCTCCATACTTTCTCTGTAGACAAATTTTATAGTGATCATGCAAATGTCGTGTTCCATTTTTAGAACCACCAACAAGCTGTTTATGGCAATAGTGACACTATACCTTGTCCTTACCATCAACTTTGACTTTCGTGAAATGAAGTCATACAACTGACTTAGTCCTTCCACTTCTAGTAACACAATTTTCTTTAATTGAAATCCGGATGGGGCTTGAACAAGGTCTATGATTAGAAAGTGTTTCTTCAGAATTACACCTTCCTTCATGTGGAGATTGCACTTGGACACTTTGAACAAATGTAGATTGCATATGGGAACTTGCAATCGAAACTTTTTGGATGAGTCAGAATATTGACATATGTCCTCTTGTAAGCTCTTTCTTTTGCAAAGTAAATAGTGCGGATTTGACATGGTCAAATCTAAAACACTTCTACAAAAATCAGCCACAAACATAGTTAAAAATTTGCTCAAAACACCAAACAACAAAAGTCAAATAGACCCCTATTAAAAGACTTCTTGCCATGGCCCTAAACAACCCTCAAGTCGCCAAAAATCTCCTATTGAATATCCGCCTACAAACAAGACAACAACTCTCAATAGAGAACAAAACCAGCATAGAGAAAGAACAAAACCCCACAAACTCCCCAAGACCCCCCAAAACCCCACCAAGACAACTCACGAAAAGCCTTACAAACAACTAACCCACCGTGAGACAACTCACCCACAACTAAAAAACCCTCCAAAGCACTACCATCACACAAACCCAAACAGTCGAGCATATATTGTTATGCAACGGAAACATAAATTCTAATGCTAGCTTATTGAATATAATAATAACAAGAAGTAAAGCATAAATAAATTGCCAAAATTAAATGCAAAAATAAAGAATACCAGGAATTAACGAGGTTCGGTATTAAAACCTACGTCCTCGGGCGCTGCAAAAGAAAACTCCACTATCTCCAAACAATATTACAAACTTTTGGGCAATACAACAAATACCCAAAACAAAGGGGAGATACAACAAAACTTGCAAACTAAAGGGTCCTTAAAGAAAGAACCCTAAACAAAAGAAGTATAATGGAATTACANAGTAAAGCATAAATAAATTGCCAAAATTAAATGCAAAAATAAAGAATACCAGGAATTAACGAGGTTCGGTATTAAAACCTACGTCCTCGGGCGCTGCAAAAGAAAACTCCACTATCTCCAAACAATATTACAAACTTTTGGGCAATACAACAAATACCCAAAACAAAGGGGAGATACAACAAAACTTGCAAACTAAAGGGTCCTTAAAGAAAGAACCCTAAACAAAAGAAGTATAATGGAATTACATCTTGGGATACAAATAACAATGATTTAGGTCCTTATATATAGGCCCCAAAAGTTTCCCACTTTTCATTCCCAAGCAATGTGGGACAAACTAACATTTTAGCCTATTACATATAAGTCCCTAAACCTTTTTCCATTATCACTTCTACCCCCATGTGATTTGCAAAATGAGCCACTTTTCCAACATATATAAGATTCTTTATGGGAGAGAATAATGTTGGAGCTGCCTTATAACAACTTTTTCAAAAAAAGCTTTATCATTACTAAGAAGAATGATTGTTTTACCTCGTATAAGAGTTAGAGAGTTGAAATTGAGAGTGTGGAGAGTGGAGAGTGGAGAGGATGCATGAGTCAACTGAGCACCTAAGACATGAGTGACGAAATCATGGTTTAGGGATTTTAGCGGTGAGACTTTGACTTGAGACTTGAGAGTGCGATTTACGAATTGAGCCCTAACCCCTAAGTAAAATTCGTATCTTTAATCTTTCCTTAATTCTTTTAAACGCAACATTTTGTTTCTTCCCCTAATTTCTTTTTCTTTTTTAATCAAAGTTAAACAGTTTGACTCAAACTATAAAAAGTTAAAAAACTAAGAATTTAA